GAAGGAACTGCTCTAATGCACACCGCCACCATGCTGATCATGAAGCTTGAATTTAGAGAGGTCTTTAGCTATATCAAAACAAATAAAGGAAGGCTGGATGTGATTGAGAGGGAGCATGCTGAAAAGGAGATGATGAGGCGGAGTGAACCAATTTTTATTTCTATTGCTGTTGTGTGAACCAATTTTAATTTCTATTGTTGTCGTGTGAACCTATTTTAATTTTTATTGTGAGAACTATTAGTTGTATGGCTGTAACAAATAATTTGCTTGTACTGAGACTATTTGCTTATGCTGAGACTATTTGTGAGATTATTTCTTTGTGTGAGATTATTTCTTTGTGTCAGATTATATTCTTATGTGAGATTATTTCCTTATGTCAGATTATATCCTTGTGCATATACTGATGTATCCTAGGTCAATTGAATTAATCAATTTTAATATCCTTTGTAGGTGGATGACAACTTGGAAGGTGTAGCCAAAGAAGGACAGAAAGGACTAGTACTCCTAGCTGAGCTTTCCCAGCATGCTATTGTTATTGGTCAAATAGGTGCACAATACACTAAGTGTTATTTTGACAAAGGTGAGTATAGGGAAACACCAGAAACTGGAATTCAATGGGTGATGAGGTGCTTTGCTCGTCCAAAAAACTTCTATAAGATGTTTCGAATGAGCACTGAGGTCTTCACGGCACTACATGAGTTGCTAGTATCTATCTACGGTTTGACCTCCACTAATAATGTTTCATCCATTGAGTCATTGGCAATGTTCTTGTGGATTGTCGGAGGCCCATAATCATTTTCACAAGCTGAAAATCTCTTCACTCGGTCACTGTGGGCAATTCACACTAAGTTTCACGAGGTACTTAAGTGTTTGCGCAAGTTAGCTAAGGACAATATTAAGCCGAGAGATGCTAGTTTTTCTACGGAACATGAAAGAATCAAAGATGAATGTTGCTGGCCTTACTTCAAAGGCGCTATTGGAGCAATAGACGGTTCACATGTTCCAGTGGTTGTACCAGCCGAGGATATGGTTAATTACACATGCCGTCATGGATATACATTTCGGAATGTGCTAGCTGTTTGTGACTTTGACATGAGGTTTATCTTTGCGGTTGCTGGTTGGTCCGGTTGTGCACATGACACACGTATCCTCAATCATGCATTGGCAAATTTTCCTTCATTTCCCATGCCTCCTAACGGTATACACATATCCTTACTAAGGTAGCAGTAAAGTACTTGTATTATTATTTGATTATACTGATTTGATTTTATAGGAAAATATTATCTCGTGGACTCTGGTTTTCCAAACCGAATAGGGTATCTGGCCCCTTTCAAAGGAAGCACATACCATATATCAGAATTTCATAATCGTTCTGGACCACCCCAAGGGAAGTACGAGGTGTTCAATTTCTTGCATTCATCCCTTCGAAATGCCATTGAGCGGTCTTTCGAAGTATTGAAGGAGAAGTGACGTATTTTGAAGGGCATACCAAGTTTCTCAACTCATACTCAGAAGCATATCATCATTGCTTGTTTGGCATTGCATAATTTTATCTGTGACAGCAATTTGCGTGATAAGGAGTTCGAGAGATGTGATGCTGATGAGGAATACTTGGTACAAGAGACAAGTGGCACAACACAAACATAGGGAGATGAGAGTGAAAATGTGGAGAATGAGGATACCATGAATACCATTCGTAATAGAATAGCTGGTGCTTTGGTTAGTGCGAGAGGAGGATAGTTATTTTTAGAGATGACATAATTGGATGAGCCCTTATCTTTTGGTTCTATTTATGTGGGCTATATCACTTTGAATGATAAAAATTTTTAGAATAAATTAATTTTTCCTTTCAAAATAATTATTTACATGCGAATAAGTGAGTGCAACCGTTATTTACGATCAATTTGCATATAAATAGTCCATCGGGCCTTTAGGGGCATTATAGACATTTCTTACACAGTCTACAGTTTCACAGCTCCTCAAATCAAACGACTTTCAATTTTTCCCACAGCTCTCAGCTCACAACAAATTTTCAGTAATTTTATCAAAATCCACTGCTCAACCAAAAGGCTTCCATGACTTTACCGTATGGCCAAAATCTTCTGGCGTATATATTTTTCAAATTCGGTGGTTGAAACCTGAACAAACTTTGCACCGACTGCGGCGAGATTGTGAGCGGTGGGTGCATGGTCGGTGCGAAAGGAGCCCATATGCTGACAATGTAGGATCTGAGGCCCATGCCGCGCCATCTCATTCGGCTCATGTATGAAAAAGATGGCATTAAGCATTTAATGCATGTACCTCGAACATCATGGAGTTGCACCTCAAGCATGTGATACAGAAAACCAACCTCAAACTTAAGGTCTAGTCATATGAGATAAAAATACTTCATTCATCCCAAAATTAAATAAACGCACATTATTCTTCTTGATGAGTTAAACTCTTCTAAGTTTTACTTATTACATAGAAAATAATATTAATATTTGTATCTCCAAATAAGTTTGTTACGAAAGTACATATATTTGGTCAAACTTAAAAATATTTATATCTCCAAATCAAGTGTTTACAAGGACGGCTTTGATTATAGAGGTTATAGGGGACGGGCGGAAGCCACTGCTTTGGCCGTTGATTGTGCATCAAATTTGTGCAAAAAGAACCGAGATGGTTCTTGTCCAGTCTTGCCGATAAACGCGGAGTAATTCCAGGCGTAAAAATGCGGTAAAGGAGACAGCTGTGAGGATCGTTGATGTTTTTGAGTTGTTTATTTTGACCAAGTACACCCAATGCAAACAGCTCCAGAAACACATTTGTCAAAATCTGCGCCCCTGCGCGGGCCGGCCGGTCGACCGTTTGCAGCTTTGCGCGTTCGTCGTGACCAAATCCACCGAACAGACGTTGGAGGGACGCAGAACGGCAGAAGATGACAAACGGATACATTGCACAAATCCATCTCATGCATGCATATATATATAAGTCAGAGGGCGAAATTTCACTTGGAGTACATCTACCTACAGTTTGACCTATATGTTTTTATTGTCAGCGGCGGATCCAGGAAATATTTTAGGGGGGGGGGGCTGAACAACACTGCTGCTCGATCTTAAGTCTCAGTCCCCCCTACACTATAGAACTTTGCCTAAAAATTCATAGGGACTCTACAGTAATTTGCACTGTTTCGGGATGGGTAGGGGGGGCTTGAGCGCCCCGCCCCATTGCTGGATCCGCGCCTGTTTATTGTCACACTAGATTCATGCCCGTGCGTTGCACCGGGTGCACAAAGTTTTGGCCGCATCTATGACGACGCATGTGTATTGCGGCTTATTACATGTACACATTATTTTGAGCAACAGGAATTATTCAAGAACTTTTACATGGAATACATATAAAAACAGTAAACATTAAACCCAGGAAATAAATAAACAAGCCCGTAACTAAAATTTGCCCCAAAACCATATTCAGCCCACTTAAAACGGCCCTTCAGTAGCTCCCCCGGGCCCCTTTATTCAGGCGCAAGAATCCGCAGGCCCACTTAGCCCTGAGCATCGTCGGCCATTAGATGCCATCGGATGGCTCACATTCTCTCCGCCCGGATCAAAACCGAGTTTGGCCGTCCGAAATCCCCATTTCCTTCTCCTTCCCACGTTTTTTCTGGAGCGGACATCGGCGTAGCGGCGGCGGCGACGACGAGCGCCGACCGCGCGGGGCGGAGGGAGGTGGCACCGCCGGCGGCCCTCTCGCCGGAGCGCGCGTGCGGCCTAGGCTGCACATGGCTCCGTCGAGGGGATCCTCGGTGTTGCCCTGTTCGATGAAAGCGAGCGGCGCCCACGCAGGACTCCCACAGCCGCGGCTGCGTGCTCCCTCCCCAACTCTTCGCACAGAGACGGCGGCCACCACGCCAACGGCGGTGCACGTGGAGCCGACGGCGAGTGCGCGACGCGGAGGGCGGCGGGTCCGCTCGAGGCAACCAGTGCCCCGCGCGTCCCTGCCGTTTCCTCAGGAGGCCGATGCGCCGCCGTCAACGACGACGCGCTCGTCGTTAAGGTAATCTCGCCGCCATGAATCATCAAAAGAGGTGCTAGGGTTTCTGAAATTTTGGGTAATTTCCTTGGCCGCGCCTGTAATCGTCTTCCCTGCAGCGACTCCTCCGCGCCCGCGTCTACCCGCAACCCCGGCAAACGCAGCGGAGGCGCAGCTCGGACTTAGCGGTTTCGTCGGGCCATCGTGCCGGCCCACCGCGCGGGGCGCGCGAGGTCGTGTTCAGCTGCAGCAACAAGCAGGGTGCGTTTGGGAGCGCTCCATGGAGCAGATTTTCGAAGAGAATCACTCCTTGGCTGCCAAACGGTTTTTTAAGAGTGAGTGATTCTCTGCTCATTCTGTGAAGTGATTCACTAAGAGGCTGAGAACTGAAAAAAAAATAGCTTCTCCTGATTCTGTGAAGTGATTCTCCATAGTGATTTTAAGAGTTTATGCTAAAGAATCAAATAGAATCATTTTCAGCCTCAAAATCACTTTACCAAATAATCAGGAGCACAGCAAGGAGCACAGCTCCGCCAAACGGACCCACAGTTCTTTGCCTCGTGCGGGGATCTCTCGTACTCCTCGGCACCGCCAAGCACCGCCACCGATTTTTTTTTCCTTTTTCCAATTCCGATCTGGAGGAGTTTGTTTCTGCCTGTAGGATTTTTGGTTCCCTTTTTCCGATTCCAGTTTTGGTTCTGTGGGTGGACGATTCCCTTAGAGGCTTATTAGGTTCCCTTTTCCCTAGGCCTGCCTAATGTTCGCTGCATGATCTGTGGTATTATATATGTGTCGAATATTATGTATGAGTTTGGTTAAAAAAAATTGCAATTCGTAAATTTGGTAAGAGTCGATATACAAATGGATTTGGATTAGGATTCAACGTTTCCTTCTAGGATAGAATGTTTTATATAAAAGTTTTGACCTGACCTCCACAAACAGCCTCCGTCGACCTCCAACCCTAGAGCTTCGCTACTTCGTCCTCGATGAGCCGCGGCAAGGATGTCTCCGTCCCTCCCCAGTCATCTAACCTTCCTTCCTCGATTTTCATTGACCACGATGCCGATGTCCGTCCCTGGAAGGGGGTGCCGACTCCCGACGACGACGTCCCACTCGATACAGATTCAGCCATGCCGGGCTCCTTAGTCACTCCCCGCCATCCCTTACCGGGGCCGAACTCCAGATTCCCTCCCCGCCATCCGGGGTCGAACAGATTCCCTCCCGGCCATCCGATGAATCCCAATCCGGTAGAGTGGAACTCCCGCAACCCCTCATCCCAAGCCTCAGGTTGTTTCTCCTTGATTAGCTCCTTGTCGTCCAAGCTCCACTTTGATCAACCTTCGAGTATCTGCAGCGGCGGCGTCCCCGCCTACAGCCGCACCATATATGGGCCGAGAGAAGTTCGGGACAATTTCCACCGTAACCTAAAGGAAGATGAGTTTAAGCGAGTTCTTGCCAAGATCGAGATGATCTACCGCGAGGTGGAGCTTGACAGCGACGAACTGGAGAGCGGCTACTGCTGTTGCTTGGGCCTTCTGAATCCCAAAGCAAACATCCTCGTCAACAGCTCTATTTTCTGTAGCAATGCTTCGTCGTCGCCGGCCAGTAAGGGAGGAGACATGGCCCAGCGGTCGCTAGACGGCCTCATCACCTTCCTAACTTGCCTCTTCCCGTACCTCCCAGTCGCGGAGGCCTTGGCGTACCTTGACGCTGTCGACGCCGACCCCCTTGCCGCCGCCGCCCTCATCATCGCCAGACGTGGACGGAACTACTGCTGGATGGACCCTACCATTGCCGCCGCTACCATGGCGATGGCCCTCAAATGCGGAGCAGTTGCCGCCCAACATCCAGACTCATCCCTACTAGTGAAAGGATGGACGAGTCTTTCACATTACCTGCATCAGATCGCCCGTCCTCTGTCAGTCCCCCGTCCTGACTTCATTACTGGGAGTTTCGTACTCCGCAGCATTCGAAATGAATATTGCAATCTTGAGGTCCAAGCTGTGTGGGAACTTGCAGATGACAGGCTTCGTGCAAAGCTTAAGTTTTCTGATGGTGGCTTACGCTTACCCACAGGGTTTCCTCCTGTCCGCGCAGCCATGAAGCGCATGCTCCTTGCGAAAATCCATGGATTCTACCTGAAAGCACTGTGCAGTCTCCCCAAGGATGAGCTGACCGGGAGGTATCACTGTGCCTTGGTCATGGGTGGCTACTGCTATCACTACTGAATTCAGGTTCTTTGCCGAGTGCCTGAGGCACTCGGCAAAGGCCAAATTGCACTCGACAAAGCCTTTGCCGAGTGCGGCACTCGGCAAAGACCACACGGCAAAAATCTGATCGGCAAAGCCCTCTTTGCCGAGTGTCTTTTATCGGGCACTCGGCAAAGGTTTTGCTGAGTGCCCTGGGGACACTCGGCAAAGAAAAGCGACCGTCACGGCGGCGGTTCCGTTGACGGTCACTTTGCCGAGTGCCAACCCTGCAGGCACTCGGCAAAGATTTTTTTAATTTTTTTTTAAAAATTTCTTTGCCGAGTGCCAACCCGTGAGGCACTCGGCAAAGATTTTTTATTTTTTTAAAAAAATTCTTTGCCGAGTGCCAACCCGTGAGGCACTCGGCAAAGAGTTTTTTTTTGAAATTTTTCTTTGCCGAGTGCCAACCCGTCAGGCACTCGGCAAAGATTTTTTATTTTTTTAAAAATTTCTTTGCCGAGTGCCAACGCGTAAGGCACTCGGCAAAGAGCTTTAATTTTTTAAAAATTTCTTTGCGAAAAGCCAACCATATAGGCACTCGGCAAAGTGTTTTTATTTTTTAAAAAATTTTTTTGAAAGTGCTAGCCATCGGGCACTTTCGGCAAACGTTTTTCATTTTTTAAAAAAATTTCTTTGCCGAGTGTCAACCCGAAGGCACTTCGGCAAAGATTTTTATTTTTTTTAAAATTTCTTTGCCGAAAGTGCCCCATGGTGGCACTCGGCAAAGTTTTGATTTTTTTTAAAAAAATTCTTGCAAAATGAAGTGCATTATTGGTCTGTATAGAGATTGTAGGCACAAATTAAAAAGAAGAGATCCGAACAAAATGAAGTGCAAAATACTGTTAGGTTTTGCCTGATCTAGAAGCTCTCGCCTTGTATTACAAACAATTTCGCCAGCAAGGAAACATGATAGATTGCAAATAAACTTCTATCTAGAGACTACTTGTAGATAATTTAAAAGGACTAACGTAATCCTAGAGTCGGACTGAAGTAATTCTTTTTGAGGCAACATGCAGAAAATGGCTTCATTTCAGACAGGTTTAAGTTGCATCATTGTCAGACATCAATATATACATGCTATCATTTGTCGAACAGCAACAGTTTTGGTCATAGGATTAACATGGTAAGATAACAAGTTTAGCATATATAGATGCTATCATTTGGCAAGAAACTACGACTGTTGGTGACTATGACTGGAAGCAGGTAGAGGTTAAAATGGTACATGAGACTCCAACACGTATATCATTGGGCAAAAAACTATGACAAAAGATCCAATGGTCATTTAACTGAAAATCATCAAATATATGAGAATGTCAGATACAAAAAAGTTGAGCATCTCAAGCATATGTCCCTGCCTTATATCACTCAAACAGTGAGGAAATTTCGGATGCGGCAAGTTGACAACATGGTAGCTTTCAAATCAAATAGTACATGTAGAAATCATTGGCCGTGTCACATGGAGGTGATGCAACGCATAGGATGACTACTTTCAGGTTTCAACATGCACACATAACCAGGGGCGGATTCAGAACGGGGCTGCGCCCCGGGCTAAGCTGCTGATTCACGTTCAAAACAGTCTGATCTTGCTTCCTAGGCCTTCTTTTGTCTAATTAAGATCATAGTTTTTTAGGCTAAATACCACATATGTTAAAGGGGCTACATGGACTCGTCCCGGCTGCAGCCCGGCAGCCCGGCCCCTGGATCCGCCCTGCACATAACATAGAACAAATGAAAACAACCAACTGCGACATAATTGACTTTGTGATGTTACGTGCAATAAAACTCCACTGGACCTACAACTATTACATGCTGCAACCCTGTCCTTGAGATGTTCAAATCTAAGAAAGAGATTTGAATCACAATCTCACAACTTCACGGGAATAATGAGCCATTAACTCTAATTTCACAAAATCTAAGAGAAGTGGCGGCCTTGCTAGCTTCAAAGCAACGTACATGTGTGTGTGGACTTGAATTACAAAAAAGCAAGCAGACCAGTAACACAATACAACTCTCATCAGAAAAAGGAATAGGAACTCACTGCATTTTTCCTTGCTGAGTTTAGAAAATCAATAAGCAAAGGATCCCCACTCAGAAGTTTTGGAACTAACTCCACAAATATCCTGTAATCAGTGTAGTAAAATTTTATTAAACAGAATGTCATGTATTATTTGTTTAGACAGAACACACAAAAGAATAAAGAAACTCCCATAACCTTGAGCTCCCAGCAGCATTCGATATTATGTCATAGATAATTGATGGATGAATCCCAGCTCGAACACCAAGATACATTGCTTCAATAGACGCAACAAAATGAATGCCCTCCAGCAAATCATTCACCACCCTAAGTTTGCTGCAGACATAAAAAAACATATATATTTTAAACTGACGTATGATAGTTGCAGTAATTGGTATGTATACTTTTTTTACTGTTGATGTTCCAACTTCCATAGCATGGCTATAGGGTAGTATTGGACTGTTTGTCCTTCTATAATGATATGATATGTAATTATCCTTACGTATTCTTGAAATAGAACACTATTTACTATTGTCAGAAAGGGTGAGCAAACCTGCTAGTGCAAAATTCACCTTCAGCAAAGTAAAAGCGGTATTGTATAGGCCTGAAAATATCACCAGGTAAATTAGAATTTCAACATTATTGCACCTTAGCACATCATAAGATATAAAAGAAGATGGAAATATTGGCAAAGAAATTTACACATCTTTTGACTTACTATGGAAAAACTTTCTAGCTCTTTCTGATACGTCCTGTCTCCCAGATGCAACAATCTAGCATATACAAGGTAAGTAGTGATAAGAGAAAGGGAAAATGAAGATGCATGGTACTCAGATTCCCAATATGTTGTACTGCTTACAATAATCTGTTGCTTTAGTTCATCAGATAAACCACTGAAAATGTATCCATCCAGAAGGAAGACATCCTTCTCATCTGTATGGTAAATTAAGTTAGCTAAGTACCACCAAGCTAAGGTCCTCCATATGACCATGTGGATCTCAATGGGTATATAAGTGGTAGCATTCAAATTATCAAATATACTCACTCGAAAAATGAAGTCACATTTAAACTCAAACAATTAAACATGAAAATTTGATGGTTTAAATGTGCTGATTTGCTATGTCTATAACAAAAAAAAATGCACATAGAGCTCTTGGCACAATAGCCATTCCAGGCTGGGAAGCGAATGGCATGGCATGCAAAGTATTTTACCTGTAAGCTTCTGCTCCAGCTTCTCCAACTGGCTAAGCAGCAATGTCGAACGAATCAATACAATAGAACCCGCGCGTAATCCTAAAATGCTCAAATAAACCTTATATATAAGTTATACAGTACCTTGTAGAGTAGATAGTTAAGGTGGCCAGAAGCAGTCAACGGAATAACTCAAGCACACATACCTTTCGCGATACCCTCAACTCCGAAGAACAACTCGTCAACGCCACCAGCATCGCTTAGCACGACGACCAGCGCAGCATCTGCAGTTAACGAAAGACGCGATCAGCTTAGCCCGATGACCCGATCACCTCGGCATTCCAACAAATGCATCGCAGCCACGCAGGAAGCATAGCAGCGTACTCCACAGTTGCACACCCACCAACCCAAATAGGCACGCATCCCGCACAACCGATCGAATCGAGCCAGTACTGGAGCCCAAGAGCGCAGGCTCACCTCGCGCGGCTTCCACTGGGCTCGCGTACCGGAGGAGGCCATTCAACTCCGCGAGCCGCCGCAGATGGCCTCGGGGACGAACGAGCGGACGCGGGCGCCGGAGCGGAGGAAGGAGGCGGCGAGCTCGACGCTGAGCTCGTCCGCGCCGATGAAGGCCACGGGGGCCGCGGTCGACGACATCGCACCGTCTCCCGCCGGCGACGACTCGAAGCAGAACCGAGACCGAGAGCAGAGCAGAGCAAAGCGGATCGAGTGAGCAAGCGAAGTTGGCCGGCGGTGTTAAATTCCCTCATTTGCCGAGTGCTCCGATCCGGCACTCGACAAAGGTTTTTTTAATTTTTTTAACCGTCTCTTTGTCGAGTGCGACCTGATCTGGCACTCGGCAAAGAAGATTTTTTTTTAAAAAAATCTTCTTTGCCGAGTGTTCTAGATCTGGCACTCGGCAAAGTTTATTTTTTTTAAAAAATACTTTGCCGAGTGCCCCTGACACGGCACTCGACAGAGAGGATTTTTTTTTTTAAAATTCAAAACCCTCTTTGCCGAGTGCTTTATTTTTGACACTCGGCAAAGACCCCCTTTGCAGAGTGTCGTGCCTCGGCGCTCGGCAAAGTTTTTTTGTTTTTGGCATCCAAATTTTTTGTGCATCCCTTTTAAAGCACCAGGAACTCCTAGTTAGAATTTGGGGATTTTTTTTGGCTTTTTGATATATTTAGTTATTTTATTTCTTTTACTTGAATTTTTTCGAAAAATATAATTTGAGCTGCCGCGTGAATACGAATAATGGAATTTAATGATTCAAAAATGATAGTCATATTCTTGATGTAGTGTGAGGCCTATCCGAGAATGGACCGAAATTTGGACATCTTGTTCACGAAACATGACCCTTCGAACTTCGTGGGAAGTGTTTTTAAATTCTATAAAAAGCACTTCGAAAATCATGAAACTTTTTCATATCGTGATATCATATGTGGAAGCTATGATAAAAATTCCAAAGATTTCGGGTCCGCTCTCGGATACGTCCTCGATGCTACACTCAGTAACATGACCATCAATTTTTGAATCATTAAATTGCATTATTCGTACCACGTGCAGTTCAAAATTATATTTTTCAAAAAAATTCAAGTAAACGAAATAAAGTAACTAAATATATCAAAAAGCCACAAAAAATACCCAAATTCTAACTAGGAGTTCCTGGTGCTTTAAAAGGGCTGCACAAAAAATTTGGAGGCCAAAAACAAAAAAAACAAAAAAACTTTGCCGAGTGCCGGGTCATGGCACTCGACAAAGGGGTCTTTGCCGAGTGTCAAGAATAAGGCACTCGGCAAAGAGGGTTTTGAATTTTTTTTAAAAAAATTCCTCTTTGCCGAGTGCCTTCACAGGGCACTCGGCAAAGACATTTTTTTTAAAAAAAATAAATCTTTGCCGAGTGCCGTGTCAGGGGCACTCGGCAAAGTATTTTTTTTTAAAAAAACTTTGCCGAGTGCCAGATCTGGGACACTCGGCAAAGAAATTCCAAAAAAAAAATTAAATCTTTGCCGAGTGCCAGATCTGAGACACTCGGCAAAGAAAATTTTTTAAAAAAAATAAATCTTTGCCGAGTGCCTAACAGTAGGCACTCGGCAAAGAAGGACGTGGCCGAACACCGTTATGCGTGACAGCCTATGCCGAGTGCCGAGCTTTTGCCGAGAGTTTGGCACTCGGCAAAGAAGTCCTTTGCCGAGTGCTCTTCTCTGCCGAGTGCCCGGCACTCGGCGAAGAACTCTTTGCCGAGTGCAATTCTTTGCCGAGTGCGGCACTCGGCAAAGAAGGTCTTTGCCGAGTGTCCGATTTTTGACACTCGGCAAAGAATTTTGCACTCGGCAAAGTCTCTGTTTTCAGTAGTGTATGGTCCGCTGCAGCCTGCTGCCAACATCATCGTCAACATGATATGGTATGAGCAAACCTTCCCAACAACAACCAAAGGATTGAAGACGATAACCATGATCAGCACCGGATTCCTGTGGCAAGTTGCAGCTCGGTCACTCTATGGCCTCGTATCCTTCTTGTGCACTCGCTACCCGAGCCTCACACCTGACCATGCCATGCAACGCCTGCTGGTGGCAGAGGCCAGCTTGCAAGTTGCTGATCCCAACCTTTTTGATACGCCTAGCAGCCTGAAGATGGACTGGTCTTCGTGTCCACAAATTGAACCAGGCAAAGACACTGATGTTCCCATACAGATGAAAGCAGTTAGGAAGGCCTTTGCCAGTGTCAAAGAAGCATATACTGCTGCAGCCACTGCAGCTTACCACCCCAGTCCACCTGCGCAGAAAGTGTTTCTTGGATCACCGGATTCTGTGGAAAAACTCAAGCATATGCCTCAGATAAGTTTCGTCTGGATGATGGTCACCAACTCTCGAATGAAGAATTTGGTTTGCTCTTCATGTCCTTACAAAGGTGCCTATCCTCTGTTGGCACGTTGGACCATCAACAGGAACCTGAACCTACAGTGGTAGGCAAGTCGGAATACGCCGAAATATCTCGACGCGTGCACAGGTTCTGGGGCCTGCATGACCGAGTCAGTAGCATGGTGTTAGCTGCACTGGAGAAATTCAACAGAACTAATGTTGGTTTCTTCTATTACTCACTCTTAATTACTTGCCTCAGTTATATTAGTCTCGTTTTCAGCTATGCCTGGTTTCCATTTTAACCCTCTTCTTCATGGTTGAAATTGATCGCAGGAATCCCAGTATAATCGCAGGAATCCCAGTATAGCCTTCATGTTATCTGTGGTGTTAATGAGCTTGTATCTGGGCCAAAGTTTTGCAGCCACTTTCTGTCGCTTCTTCCTTTCAAATATCAGTATTCCCATATCAACTTTGTGGCGACTCTGGATGCTCAACCTCCAAAGCTCTTCTTTGCTGAATGTAACCTTGATGATCATAATGATACTTGGTGTGTCCCTGTGGATTGGTCACGCCCAGTTGGTGGTATGCTCTAGTCTCTTATCTCATGGGTCATGGTTTCTTATTATCAAGTCTGGTCAATTAGATTGACCTCTTTCATTCTTACTATTATTGATGCGTATTATACTGTCTATTGGTTACAATTAGGTAGACACACATCACGCAAGTTATGTGTGCCTACTGATCTGTCATGATTTATTGGTCACATCCTGACAGATTTTCTTATAAAATCTTGGGAAACATATGTAGACATCCCCAATTCAAAATATAGGGCGTATAATTAAGTCAAACTTTAGAAAAGTTGGCAAACAATTTTTTTTCAGATTTATGCTTGGCTGAGAAAGCTACATCAGTAGATTCTCATTCCACATATCTTCTAGTATGATTTATTTGAATTGATCCATGATATATTGCAAGAGTAACCGGTGGTCAAAGGACGCATTCCAAATTAAATACTAATGCGTCTATAGTCTATAGTCTATACACATTACTAATTTGTATTGTGTTGCATCTGCAGGACAATTTCGAAGGGCGGGCCTGGTGCAAGCGGTGGAGTCTTACCGTCTGTGACCGGAAGGTCCCGGGTTCGAGTCGCGGTCTGCTCGCGTTGCACAGGCGAGGGTAAGGCTTGCCACTGACACCCTTCCCCAGATCTCGCACAGAGCGGGAGCTCTCTGCACTAGGTACGCCCTTTATCTGTAGGACAAGCTCAGTGCTTTTATTGTGAGAGTCATGGGAATAGGATCATCCATCCAGCCTTGTTCGTTTTCCATGGGTTTGACTTTGAGGAGGCCTTCTTTGGGCCAGATACTTAAAGTTTTTATGACAACGACCAGATCATCTTCTTCAAATCTGTATTTTTGGACTGGGTGAATGGTGTGGAAGAAGTTATCTACAACAATTACCGATTCCGTGATGACAATGGTAATGGGGGACTCCAACAAGCGTTTACGACTTTGATTATGTCGGTGCGAAAAGTGACCAACTAGTAAATATTTGCCGTTTTGTCGTACGTTGTGATCGGATGTGGCATAACACTAAATGACACAGGGTTTATACTGGTTCAAGCATCGTGCCATACGTCCAATTTGAGTCGGTCGGTGACTTTATTCCTGAGTCCAGGTGCTCGAAATTTGCTGTGAGGTTATAAATGAGTGGGAATAAAATGAGGGTATCAGAGGTCCGGTCGGACTCTGGACCGAAGGGCCGAGAGTGACGGGAGCTCCTAATTGCGCTAAGTATTGGAACGTATGCTCTGTGTAGCTTTAGAATATCTAAAGCTAGTAGAGAGTCGGAATGATCCATGTGTTGTCTGTTGTTCGTCGAATCGATCCTCCTTTTAGGAGAGGGTGTATCCCCTTTTATAGATGAAGGGGACGACCTTACAAGTGAGAGAGAGGGAGTGTGTGCTACCTAGTCTTCTTGTTCACGCCGTTGGGCACAAGACGGTTTGTCGGCGCCTACAATACTGTTGACGCCCTGATGCACGTGGTTGGTTCCATCGTGTTCTTTTGGTATGACAAATACCGGTGCCTACCATACTATAGGACAAATGTCGGCGCCCACAACACTGTTCGTGTCCTGATATGTCTGGAAGGTTGCAAAGTACCCTTCAGAGATGGCCTGACAGTACTGTCCTGCAGGTGTGCAGGGTACGGTCCTTGGTATTGCGGTTGACTTGTGCGCCTTACCTTATCTGCTCCGTCTGATTTCTCGGGTCCTCACCGAGCGGGTGTCCCCGTTCGGTCGTTCCCAGTCGGCTTCGACCGCGCCGGTCGGAGAAAAGCCGCAGGCAGAGGTTTAGCGTGTTCTCGGTCGGAGACGCAGGTCGGAGTCGGAAGCGAGCGTCGCCCCTCCTTGGTCAAGCCCTCAGGTCCTAGAGGCGGGTCGGAGTCGGAGGCCTTCCGGTCGGAGACTGAATCACTTTTTCGGCTTGTCGTTAGGTATCTAGGCCGGCCCAGGAGCTACGCGTCGTCCGCAACGTCGTCTGCTGGGCCGAGCTTTTTGCTAGAAAGCAGGCCCATTAGGGACCCCGGGTTTATGAACCCGACAGGAGCCCCCGAGCCCCCGGGTGATTCAGGTAGAATCGTCTGGGGGATTTCTTCGTTTTGTCAGCGGGTGCGCGTGAGCGCATCCGGTGGGTGTAGTCCCCGAGCCCCCTGGCGATTTGGGTAGAATTGTCTGAGGGGTTTTCGACTTGCCAGCGGGTGCGCGCGAGCGCACCCGGTGGGTGTAGCCCCCGAGCTTGCGTCCGACTGGCGAGTCGGTTGGAGGCTAAATATCTTGGTACTCTTTCCTGGGGCCACAGACTCCTGTGTTTCTGTCGTTCGAGGTGTTTGCCCATGTTTGTCTCACCCGCGATTTGCGTGGTCGGTTGTTTTCCTGAGTCGGTGTCGGGTGACCTGAGCCCCGTTGGGTTCGACGGGGGTTGGTCTAGTTCCGTGCGTTACCCGGTCCATAGTTTCCGCAACCGGAGGGGTTGAACTAACGTCGCTTGCCTCGATGGCTTGAGTGACGCACCCGGTGAGCTCACTAATGAGTGCATTCGTGTGGAATCTAGGTCCGTCGTTCATGACGGGGTCGGCATAGCCCTCATGTGGCATTCTACTGCTCCTTAACCCGTCTCCCGGCAGATGCCCGGGTCGTTCCGGAGACCGACTCAGGTGGCCCGCTGGCCTCCCCTCGATGGAGATTCTGTGGGCATGGCTCGAGGTTAGGATCGAACGAGAAGGTCGAGATGACCCTGTCTGCTTCTGGGCAGATCGGGCATGGGCCGCTGGGGCTGATCTATGTTTTCTCCCCTGGCTCTGTTTGACGCGAGGCGGCCTCGAGCCCTTCGCGAGCCGGCCTTCGAACCCTGGTCGGTCGTTGCTCATGTCGAATGAGGCAACTACCGCCTCGTGATGTAAAACAAAGCGTTGTGATGCATTAATTTGCATATGCAATGCTTTGGATGTATGGGATGAATGAATGATGGTATGAATGCGTGTATGAGAAAGAAAGAATGAATGATTGTATGAATGAATTTGTGAATGCGTGTATTAGAAAATAAAGAAAGATGAACAATAAAGAAAGATGGTTTGGTAAGGTTACCTTGATGACTCGAGTGACGGGTTTTGAGGAGCTCTTATCGGATATGTCCGAACAGGATCCGGGTCCGTCATTCGCGACGGAGCCGGCGTAGCCCGGATGGGGCATCCCACTACCCCTTACATGTCTCTCGGCATTCGTCTGAGCCATCCGATTTACTCAGGAAGCCCGTTGGTCTCTCCTTTGATGTAGATCCTGCTGTTGGGCCTTTCCAAGCTCTGCCTAGGAAGGCGGAGGGCAGCTTGCGTGCGGTTGCGCCTTGTTTCTCGCGCCCGGTGTGTGGTAGTGGTGGGCCATGCCTAGGCCACGTCCCGTTTAACTAGGCGTCGCTTCGTTGGGCAGGGTGCATCCCATCAGTCAGGACACGTCCCATCGCATCTCCATTCGCATTGAATAGGGGAAGGGAGAGGGTTTTTCACCCCAATCCTTCGCCTTTCTCCAAATGTTGCCTTTTCTCCTTAAATAGGGGAAGGGAGAGGGCTTTCGTCCCGTTCCTTCGCCTATTCTCCAACTGCTGCCTCTCCTCCTTCCTTCTCGCTAAGTACGTTCATGTGCCGTGGTGGTTCCTAAGTGAGAGAGGATAAAGCGAGGGAGAGGAGAACTCACAGATCCGTTCATGAATCCGGATCGCAATGTCGAGCTGGAGGCCATCCAACGTAGATGAGGTGGTGCTGGCCGTCTTCGCCAGGAAGGGGCTGCTTCCACTGAAGAAGGTGGCGCACTGGAGGGCTCCTACAGGGGAGGCTTTTCCACGACCTCGGGCTAACGAGCTTGTCTCATTCCTTGCCTTCCATGAGCGTGGGCTAGGATATCCCGCGCACTGGCTGCTGCGCGGGCTCCTTAATGAGTGGGGCCTAGAGCTACAGCACCTCAATCCGACTGAGGTGCTGCACGTCGCCAGCTTCGTGACTGTCTGCGAGGCCTTACTCGGGATGGAGCCGCATGTGGACTTCTTTCGGCTGATCTTCACTGGGCAAGCCTTGTCGAAGGGGAAGCCACCCAGGACCACGCCGGTTGGGGGCTTCACGCTGCAGAAGAAGCCGAGGACGCTGGGCTCCTACCCCACGTACTCCCCCTACGACTCCAATCGGGGGTGGCATGGGGAGTGTTTCTATATCAGGAACCCAGCGGAGGCGCCGTTCCCGCCGTTCACCGGAAGGAGACCGGAGAGGTGGGATAGCTGGTCGTGGGGGCCCTCCAGCCGGCCGAACAAGCTAGAGGTCATAGAGGTGGAGCTCTAGAAGCTGGTGCAGCACGGCCTTGATAGGCTGTGGGCGTTCCACACCTTCCACCGTTGGGTCACCCCGCTGGCGGAGAGGAGGCGGTCAATGTGGAACTACTTGGGCCCAACAGATCCTGACCGCGCGTCGCCAAAGGAGTTGGCGAAGGATGAGGTCTAGAGTCGGCTCAACCGGGCGTTGCAGCTGAGGGCCCAAGAGTCCCTTGATGGAAAGCTCGGA